AAAATTAATAGCAGAAAACTTTTTATTTTTAAAATTAATAATAAATAATAATAAATAATAATAAAGTGATTGAAATTCATAAAAAATTATATTAATTATATTATAAATTTCTAAAACAATATCATATTTAGTAATGAAATGAAAATTAATTTTTTGTTTCAAGTGATAAAATGTATGGTAACAACAAAATATAGATTACAATTAAAATAATATATGATAATTAACGATACTAGATTTATTATGTGTTATGAAATTGTTTGTTTTTTCTCAAAAATCATTATTAAAAATTATTAAAAATATTAAAAATTATAGATTATGATAAAAAAAATATAAGTTTTAATAAATTTATATTATATATTTATATTATTTATAATAAAACCATTTTGTAAACAACAATTATGTTATAATTTTTACATAAAATATGTTTTTTTATGTATATTCTCAATTTTATAAAAAATAATATATATTTTTATATTTTTTGTTAAATATAAATAAATGTTTCATTTTATTTAAAAATTTTTTTGTGAATTGTTTGTTAAAATATACGAATAAAATATTAATCAAACAATCGTATTTTTTAAAAAAATTATATATTTCTTACATTTACTATTTATCTAAAAATTTCAGATTTTAATAAAAGTATATACATAGAATTATTATATATTGTATACATAATGGATTATATACGAAACCATTTTTTTATAAAAAGTCTTTTTGAGAGCTGAAATCTATCTCTAAAATTTTAATATTCTTTTAATTTTTGTATGTTCAATTTGCTTGATATTTTTTTTTTTTTTACAATGTAATGTAAAAAATTAAATATTTTTTATTTGAAAAGTTTTGTTCTATCTTGCATTACTACAGAATTATATTTTAAAAAATGAAAAATTTACTTAAACTTTTATAAGTAATTTTATCTCCTTCAAATAAAATGTTTCTAAATAAAAAAGTAATATGTATATCAAGTAAAATAAGATATATATTATTAATTATGTTCTACATATTTAAAAAATTTTATTAAAAATAAATAAATTTTTTTAAAAAAATTAAAAATGAAAAAAGAAAAATAATTTATAATTAATATTGTGAATATGTAAAATACTTATATATATATATATATATAGATAGCAATTTTTATAAATGTAAAACAATTTTTTGTTAATAAAATATCAGTTGGAGAAAATGAAATCATATTTAAAATTTCAATTTGGCTTTTTCATTTTTTAACCAAATGTAGAAAAAAAGAAAATATAAAAATATATAATAATGGATTTCTTCCTTTTGTATTGTACTGTTTATATCTTGTATTATACTGTTTTAATTTATTATTATCCTTTTAAATTTTGCTAAAGAAAAGCATATATTTATTTTATTTTAAATCAAAAAAAAGATATATTTATTTTATTTTATTATCTATATGCATCTTTTAAACATTTTATATATCAATATTATACTCTTTTGTAATTATAATTTTTTTAATTATATTATTATGTATTTCCATATCATTTACATTCTTTAGTATTTATTTCAATCTTTTTTTTATATTTAAACACATTTATATTCAACGTATCAAAAATATCAAAATAATATTCTCATTATAAGTTTACCTGTTTATATATAAAACTTTATATTTTCTAATAATTTTATAATTTATATTTTAACTTATATAAATTTATATATACAAATTCATTATATATATATATACATTTGTAATAACTCTCACAATTTTTATAATTTTTTTCTCAAGTTCTAAACTTTATATATTATATATTATATTATATTTCGTTTATATATTTATAATATATAATATATAATATATATTATATATCATTATGAAATATAAGTACTAACTTTTTTTTAAATTTAACTTTTTTTTAAATTTTTTGTTTAATTTAAGTATTATTGATAATTTTTTTTTTTATTTTTATCTAGGAAGTTTCTTTTTCTTCCTTTGTTTTTTGATTTGTTTCATTAAATTCTGTTTGATTTCATTAAAGATTAGATTAGTTGTAGTTATAGGTTGTGGTTAATAGCTTGATCATTCTTTTGATCTGACATCATTCGATTTTTATTTATGATATCATATCAAATCAATTGTTTATTCAAACAATTTACAAGTTTTGATCATACAAGAAAAAAATCAATATGTTCAATCAATTAAAACAGCAAAAAACATTCATTTGAAATTCAGCTTGTAGAGTACAATTGTGTATTTAATAGAATGTTATATTTTCAACAATAATACAATTTATCACAAATTAATGTTTTATTATCTAGTACAATAAACAGAAATCTAAGAAAGAATAAGCTACAACGAGATATGTTAAGTTAATCAAGTGTATATGTATTTGGCTAATATTAAAGTTGATTTTTTCAAAAATAAAGCTTCATATTAAAAAATTTTATTTTATATTTTTTTTATATAGATTAATCTTCTTTCCTGTTATATTATATCAATTATGTACAATTATGTATATCATCAATTATCTTATATAAAAATATCATCTATATACTTTAGTGATTTATATAAATTCATCTCTTTTTCTATTATATTATATTATATTATCAACTATCCTATATAAAAATATCATCTGTATATTTTAATGCTTTAATTTTTTTAATTTTCTATGCTATCTGTAAAAATTAATATATATATATATATATTATAATAATTTTATAGTAGATATAGTAATTTTTTTGTTCTTCTTTTTTTCAGAGTTCTTTATATATTTTATTTTTCTTTTTTATTTAATTTTTTATAAACTTTCTACATTTTCTAAAACCATTTTTAATATTTATTATGAGATTCATGATATTTTCTTCTCTGCTTTCCTATTTTGATTATTGTCCAGTAACTTTCTGTTTAGTTTGATGATTTGTTCCATAATTTTCTTTAAACAATTTGTAAGGGCTATTAATTGATTTATCAATTAATATTATCACCAATCTTTTTCATTTTCTATTATATTTATATTCAAAGATTTTTCTCATTATATATCTAAAACTTTTTGATGGTTTAAGTATACATTATCTATCTCACTAGTATATTATGTTCTGATATGAATTTTTTCTTTCTTCTGTTTATGACATTATTTACTTCTTTCATGATTATCATTCCTATATATTTCTTTTATATTTTTGTTTATGTTTTGTCTTTTTGATTGTTTTTTTTTTAATTTTTTTTGTCATTCTTTTTTAGTAAATGCTCAGATTTTATTATATTTTTTCTTTCTTTATTTTCCTTCTTTTTTTGAACTATAACTATATTTAAATTATCTATTATAATCTAGATTTAAAAGTTTTTATCTTATGTCATATTATTAATGTATTATCCTTTATTTTTTTTTTTAGTTTCATTTCAAATTAAATCTGATTAGATATTAATTCTTTGATAAATCTTTTTCATTTATTTTTTTTTGTTTGAAATTTTTATGAAATAATTAATAAAATAAATCATTTTTTTTGTAGATGATTTTTGCTTTGTTAAAAAAATATTATTCTAATAATTTTTCTATATTGATGAATTTATGAATAATTTTATAAAATTTTAATAAATTGTTTTTTTTTTGTTTTTCTAAGATTTTTCTTTAAGTCTATTGCAATCACACATTCCTAACTTACTATTTTTTTTATACCTTTTTTTTATCTTTTGTTGTGTCCTATATTTTCATACAAATTTCTTTTCTTTTTCTTTTAGATCATTTAATAAATCTATTGTTTATTTTTTCTTTTTGCTTATTCTTTCATTCTTTTATTTTCTTATTCATTTTTATTTCATCTTTATTTACTTTCTCAAATTTGTTTGGGCATTATATCTTTTATTTTACTTTTTTGTAGGCAAGACCATACTAGTTACATTTTCCCTTTTCTTATATATTTTATATTTATTATTTTTTTATACTTGTACTCTTTTGCTAGTTTGCGTTAATTTTTGAAAATAAAGCAAAAAATAATAATATGATTGTTTTATAGTAGGATTAGGATTTAACAAATTAACTTAAAAATGTGACTAAAAAATAACAATAACAGATTCACAAGTGATCTTTAAAAATCACTTTTTCATATCAATGATTTTCATGATAATTTTTGTAATAGCTTTTTATATTCATTTTCATTCATTTATATGATTTTAATGTTATAATTTCTCGAATAATGTTCTCGAATATCGAATAATATCGAATAAATTTTAACAACTATTCATGTTAGAAATTATAAATTTAAAAATTGAAAAAAATGAAAAAAAATAGATGATTATAATTTTTTCATAAGGATTTTCTTTGATTTGCTATATAATTTTATTTATGAATTATGGATTTATTTTGTTTCATAAACATAAATGTTTTTCATATTCGTTTAAAAAATTAATTATATGGATATAATTATAATTATATGGATATATATTGGACATAATATTGCGATAATATTATTAAAAAATCGATTAATAAAGAAAACTCACGACAATATTATTAGAAAATCATTTGCTTTAATTATGATAATATTATTATAACAGCAAATTTAATATTACGGCAATTAATTTTAATTTTAATTTTCAGGATGAAAAAAATATAATATTATGATTGATTTACATTGTCACTGATTTACTATTATATAAAAACATACCTTTATAATAATGTAACTCTAGACTTAATAATACAATAAAATAGAACATCCGTTATTTCTTGTACTATTTCTTAATTTCCTAATGTGAGAATATACGCGGCAATTGTGCTGACAAAAAGAATTTTGTTTGAGATCAGTGATTTTAATTTTACTTAATCTAGAATTTTTAATTATTATATTCAAGATTTAGATTATACATAAATCTCAATTTAATATTTAATAATTAAAAAAATATTAAGAATAAAATAAAAAATGAAATTTGTTTTTTGTAATATATAAAATGTATTCTATTATATTTTATAGTTTCGATCATTTATCTTTATTGAAAATATTTTAAAAACAATAACGTGATTACGTATCACGGGAAAATTTATCTTTATTCTACTATTTTATTTTTTTTTATTGTAAAAAAATAATTTAGAACTAATTTAGAATAATTTAGAATTAAGTGTTTGATTTTGTAATTAGATGTTTAAGTTATAATTACTAAAATAAAAAAGAAGTTGATTTCAAACATTCTCAAAAATGGATTTCTTAGAATATACCGATGTAATTGCAGAAGTTAAAGGAGCTATGGTAAATAATATATTTAAATTTTTATCAATTAATAAAAATATTTTTTAATTTTTGATACATGTAATATTTGTATTTTATAATAATTTTTGTTATCTATATAATTAATTTTTTTTAAGGTTAGATTTTAATTTTGAATTAAATATTATATTTTATAATTATTATAATAAAATTTTTAATAATACTGAATATATGAAATAAAAATACAAGTTTAATAAATATTAAATAATCAAAATATTTGTAATTAGATATTTATAATTACTAAAATTGAAAAGAAATTGATTTAAAATATTAAATTATAACTTTTTTTTATATAGACTCCTGGACGATTAAAACTCACAGATCAACATTTGATTTTCAAAAATCAAAAAACAGGAAAAGTTGAACAAATTTCAGCGACAGATATGGAAATGGTAAATTATCAGAAATTTATTGGTACCTGGGGTCTTAGAATATTTCTCAAAAATGGAACATTACATAGATTTCGTGGATTTAAAGAAGGTGTAAGTAATAGTTAAATTTTTCTTATTTAATATTTTATATATTTTATATAATATTATTATCTATTTATTAAAACAAAACTTATTTTTAGGATCAAGAAAAAATTGCAAAATTCTTTACTCAAAATTATAAAAAAGATATGCTAGAAAAAGAACTTAGTTTAAAAGGTTGGAATTGGGGCACAGCTAGGTTTAATGGTTCTGTATTAAGTTTTGATGTTGGTCATCATACTGCCTTTGAAATTCCATTGTATGATGTATCGCAATGTAACACTGGTAAAAATGAAGTTACATTGGAATTTCATCAGGTATATTTTCATTATTATATTTTCAATATTTTTATTATATTTATATTTTTTTAAAATGAATAAAAATTTAGTTCATAATATTAAAATTTTTATAATTTTTATAGAATGATGATGCTCCTGTAAGTTTAATGGAAATGAGATTTCATATTCCGGTTAGTGATAGTGCAGATCAAGATCCAGTAGAAGCATTTCATCAACAAGTTATGGAAAAAGCATCTGTTATTAGTGTCAGTGGAGATGCCATTGCCATATTTAGAGAAATTCAATGTCTTACACCTCGGTATGTATTTATATTTAATAAATATGTATATTAAAAATTAATTTTAAAAATTAATTTTATAATATAAAAAAACATTTAATAGTTATATAGTAAAAATATATATTAAAAAATAAATATTTATTTTTAGTGGTCGTTATGATATAAAAATATTTCAATCATTTTTTCAATTACATGGAAAAACTTTTGATTACAAGATTCCAATGTCAACTGTTTTAAGGCTATTCTTATTACCACATAAAGATAATAGACAAATGTATTTTGTGGTAAGTTTTTAAAAAATCAATTTTATTTTTATTAATACTTTGTTTTATTTTTATTTATCATTAATATTATTATTATTTTTTTTAGGTCAGTTTAGATCCACCAATTAAACAAGGTCAAACACGATATCATTATTTAGTATTATTGTTCAATCAAGAAGAAGAAACTTCAATTGAATTACCTTTTTCTGAGTAAGTATCAAAATTTTATTAAACTACATTAATAATATTGTAATATATTTTTTATATATTATGCAGAAAAGAACTAAAAGAAAAATATGAGGATAAATTACCAAAAGAATTATCTGGACCAACTTTTGAAGTTTTAGGAAAAGTAATGAAAGTCATTATTAATAGGAAACTTACTGGTCCTGGAAATTTTATTAGGTAATCTTTTTTAAATAAATTATATATATTATATATATGTATTATATATTATTGTATTATATATATATATATATATATATATACATAAATATATAGTATGTAGGAATATTTTTTTTAAATTTTAGCCATTCTGGAACACTTGCAATTAGTTGTTCTTTTAAAGCAGCTGCAGGTTATTTATATCCTTTAGAAAGAGGTTTCATTTATGTTCATAAACCACCAATTCATATTCGTTTTGAAGAAATTGCATCAGTTAATTTTGCCCGTGGTGGAGGTTCTACTAGATCATTTGATTTTGAAATTGAATTGACTAGTGGTGTTGTTCATACATTTAGTAGTATTGAAAAAGAAGAATATGGGAAACTTTTTGATTTTATTACTTCCAAAAAATTAAGAGTGAAGAATAGAGGCAAGAGTGTAAGCATACATTTCTAATAAAAATATAATTTTTTATTAATCTAAGATTAGTTAACTAAATTTTATTTAGATAATTTTATATTATCTTAAGATAAATTTTTTATTTTCTCAATAGGATAAATTAAATTATGATAATGATTTTGGAGATAGTGATCAAGAAGATGAACCAGATGCTTATTTAGCAAGAGTTAAAGCTGAAGCAGAAGAAAGAGATGCAGAAGAAAATCAAGATTCTGAAGAGGAATCTACCGATGAAGATTTCAATCCTAATCAAGTATTATTTTATTTTGATTTTAGAAATGTATAAAAATTTACATACAGTATTGCTCAGTTAAATTTAAATTATATTCCAATCAATTTTTAGAATGATCTTGCAAAAATTTCATTATTGGTTTCTAAGTAACATTGAGTACTGCTATATAATGTCCTATTATTTATATATATTATATATATTATATATAATATATTATTATTATATATATAAATCAAAAAAAAAAAACTTTTTTAGAATTCCATATTTTTATATAAATTATATAATATAAATATTATATTATATTATTTATATATTATTTATATAAATTAAGTTTGAAAATTTCAATGAAATTGAATAATTAAAATGAAATTAATAAATTCGATTGGATACAATTATCAATAAGAGATTATTTTAAATATGAAAATAGGCAAATATAGAATAAAATTTTATTGCTAAAGTTTTTGTTTTTGAAAATATCAAGAAATCAATCGACGATTTTCAAAAAATAACTTCTAAATTTTATATTTTTTGTTTATTTTTACAAAAAAAAACTAAAAATTTATACATATTATTTTATGAATTTGATACTTTAGGATGAGAGTGATGTAGCAGAAGAATATGATAGTAATCCAAATAGTTCAGAAAGTGAAAATGATTCAGATGTTTCTGGAAAAAGTCAAAAAAAAGAAAAGAAGGAAAAGAAAGAAAAGAAATCAAAATCCGCTAAAACTGTGGTAAATATTTTATATATTTATATTTTACTTAAATTATTTTTATGTTTTTTAAAAAGAAATCTACAATTTATTTGCAATATATTTATATTATGATATGATATTATATAAAATACAAGAAATTATTTATATTAAAGAAATGAACTAAAATGATTTTAGTTTAGATGATTTTAGTTTACATATTTAGATGATTAATAACACATATTATTTTATTTAGTCAGAAAAACCAAGGAAACCTCGAAAACAAAAAAAAGAAAAGGATGCAAATAAACCAAAGAGACCACCAACTGCATTTATGATGTGGTTAAATAGTGCTCGGGAAAGGATTAAAGCTGAAAATCCTGGAATTGCAGTTACAGAAATTGCAAAAAAGGGTGGAGAAATGTGGAGAGAACTTAAAGATAAATCTGTAAGACTGAAGTTATTAATTTGTTTATGTATATTTTTCTACATATAAATCATAATATAATATATTAAATATAATATTTGTAATAATTATTTAAAATGAACTATTTAAAATGCATAGGAATGGGAACAAAAAGCAGCAAAAGCAAAGAAAGACTATTCTGCATCAATGAAAGAATATGAAGCCAGTGGAGGTGGTCAAAAAGATAAAAAAGAAAAGGGAGAAAAGAAAAAAAAAGAAAACAAAAAAGAATCTCCTAACAAGCTTATGTCAGGAACTAGTTTTAAAAGTAAAGAATATATTAGTGATGATGAGAGCAGTAGTGATGAGGACAATAAGGTAAATTAACAATTGAAAAATATAATTTATAAATAATAATTTATTATTATATATTATAATAATATATATTATAATAATTTATAAATTATTAGTCATATTATTTTGGTTAAATATTTTTATAGAAATCAGAAAAGAAAGGATCGGATGAAGATAGTGATAAAGAAAAAAAAAAAGGAGATAAACGTACTGCGGTAATTTCATTATTTGTATTTTTAATAAATTAATAGATATCATCATATTTACATAAAAATAATTAAATTATATAATTATTAAATTATTTTTATTTTAATTAATTAAAATTGCTATATTACTTTGTACTTTTTATATATATAATTTTATATTTATATTTATATTTTACTTTACTTATTTATATTTTTTTTTATATTCTATTATATATGATTTTACTATAGGAAGATGATGATAAAAAGGTGAAGAAAGGAAAGAAAGAACAATCTGATGAAGGTAGCGATGATGAACCTATTGAAAGTACTCCACCTTCTAGCGAAGCAGAATTTAAAGATAGTGATTAATTAATTATATTTTGTAATTTTTTTTTTAGTTTTTTTTTATATACAAGTATGTATTATTTATATTTTTAAAAATATTAAAATGTGTTCTATAAAATAAAATAACATATTGAATATTTATGCAGTTGACTATTCATTTATGTAAATTCTTTTTAATGTGTTTAAAATATTATAATATACAAATAAGATGTTAAAAAGAAAGAATGCAAAATTTTAAAAGTTTATAATACTTACCAAGAACAAAAAACATTCTATATTTTTTATTATTAACAAACATTCAATATTGTGAATAATTTTCTTTATGACACATTGAATGTAAACAAAAGAATTGACTTAAAAAAAAAATTGAAATTAAAATTTTAATATAATTATTATTGATATTAATTAATATAATTATAATAGAAGTTATTTCATAGACAATAGTAAACAAAGTTGCCAAAGATAAATATTGTCAGAGTTATACAAAATGCATATTTATTATTTTGACATTTGAAAAATAAAAAAATGTGAATTGACTTGAAAATAATAATTTTCTACATTTAATATCAAATAAATTAAAAATTTGCATTTATAAAATGATTCTTGAGTTAATGTTCTTTTAAATTTCTTTATATTCAATATGCTATAAAAAAATTCATTCACACTATCACCTGTTCATCAATATAAAAGTAAAAATCGATTTTATATTGAAAGATCAATTGCAGGATCTATTTTGATTAGATATTTTTTGCTTCTTATAATGATTACTATAAGCTCTTAAAATTGAATTTTTTTTTTTTAATTCTTTACAATATAAACAGTCAGCTGCCAATTACATATATAGAAAAAAGTTGTTTAGAATCTTATCTTGTACAATATATTTAAAAATCCTTGAAATCAAAGAGGAAGTTCAGTTTTTCTACAAGTTATATACATATTTATTATTATATATTTAATTTATAATTATATAAAAATAAACACATAATAATATATCTTTTTTAATAACGAAGAAATAACTTTAAAAAATATTTACAAATTTCAAATGTTTTAAAAATATTTAATTCATGACATTAAATATTTTCATATAAATAGGATAAATAAATAGTATTAGAAAATACTATGCACCAAAATTTATGAATTTATGCTTCTTTCGAATATATTGAATTAAAATCCTAATTTTTAATTTTAGATTCTAGAATTATCTTTGGCAATTTTTTTATATATATTTGAATAAATTTAATTTTTTACTACATAATAGTACTTTCTAATTTATTCAAGTATAATTTATATTGAAATATTATTATAAATTAAATATTTTTATTTTTAAAAACTTCTTAGATCAAACTTTAGAATCAAAGTAATTTTCTTTTAAACATATTTTTTCAATCATGTATTACTTTAATCGAAACATTTTTGAAAATATCTACTGTTTTAAATGTAAATGTCTGAATTGCTATATAATTGCTATTGCATATTTTATAAATATTAATATTAATAATATAATAATAATTTAATATTTTTAAGAATATTTAAAAATGAAACAAACTGATAATATAAACTGATATTTGGAAAGAAATGACATAATGCCATCTATCGGGAGTGTAAAGATATATTTTTATGTAACAATAAATTATGATTTACGATATTAATTGTAAATTATGATTTTTGTAAATTTATTATATATATAGTTGTTATTATATTATTAGTATGATGATAATATTATATAATATATTGATAACAAAATCATATTTAGTTGCGTAAAAACATATATTTTAATATATATGTAACAACATATCATTTCCTCTTCAGTTAATCTTTAATTTAATTTTACTATTTTCAAATCAAAATGTAATATTAGATTGCATATATAGAGCTCTTGTCTGGTATATTTACTAGAAAGATAGATTAAGTCAATTATCTAATTAGCATTTTCTCTATTATTATTAAATTAGTCAGAATGTAATGTCAGATTCTAAAAATCTAGAACAGCTCTTTTGAGAAAATTGAGGAAACAATAATTAATATAAGTAGTGACAATAATGTAGCTGTGGAAATAAATAATATGATATTTTTTTAAAAAGAAATTTTTGTGGCAATGATTTTGTTACAGATTTATAAGGATTTGGGAAACTGAAAATGTGGGTTGATAGCCTATGGATTCATTCTACTCATCGGAGTATGCAGGAAATATTCAAAATATTGTAAAATATAAATTAAATTTTGTTCGATACTTTTATAAAATTATTTTGAAATTTACAAAAAAATCTCATATTTAATTCAATATTTGATCATTAATCAATAAGTGACTTTTTTCTGTGCATCTTCGGCTAGTTATGAATTCTTTCTAATTCTTTTCCCAAAATTTTGAATCTTCCTAAATCGTTCTATTTCAATGATAAATTAAATTCTGTCTTGTATTTTTTCTTCTAGGTTTCAATCTACTTTCGAACGCATCGGAAATAGTAAAAATATAGATAGAATAGTAAAAATAGAAAAAAAAATTATTTTACAGTGCACATTTTATGATATTTTTAAAGATTGAAAAAAGAAGTTGCATTGTGAAGTGTTATTTACTTAAGTATGGTTTACAATATTATTAAAAAGCTATTAAAAAAGTTACTAAACCAAATTCAAACAATAGCGTAATAATTTGCCAGACGTTAATTATACTATTTATTACTTTATAATTATTCTCCTGTAGCGAATTTTTATAGAAGAAATTATATGATGCGACACTTGATTTCAGAAGTTTAACTATTCTATATATATATATATATATTATATCTCTTTCCAATTAGTAGCATTATCAATGGAAGTAAACATGATATTCATGTTTTCTTTTACTGTGCAAATTTGTTGTAGAAATTAAGAGGATATTTATTTTAGAAAATATAATATATCGCATTTGTTCGTCTTTTTTATCTAATTATTTTCTCGTGTATAATAATTTAGTGTTTAATGTTTAAAGAATTAAAAAAGAATTAAAATGATTATAATAAAAAAAATATAAAATAAAAATAAAAAAAAAATAATTTAAATTGAATTAAGCTTTTTTTTTAAGTAAATTAAAAATATAATAAACTAAATTATTTATGTATAAATTTGATATATCATAAAAATGAATATTAGAGAAAGTACAGGATTTTATGATCTATGTGTGAACATATCAAAAAATGAAATACAAAATTTATATCCTATTTTATTAAAATTATATGAATATGGATTTAAAACAATTGCAATAAATACTGATATAGATGAAAGTGTTCTTGGAACAGATAAAAGAAAAAAAAAGAAAGGTGGTGATAGTGAAATATCACAGGATATTATTTTCAAAGCAATCGACATAGAAAATATAAGAAAAAAATTTGATGGAAAATTAAAAATTTTTAATCGAATTACTTTTTTTTGTTCTGATTTTACTAAAACACATATATTAAATCATTGTTCTACATTAAAAAAATACGATTTGTATGCTTTTGTTCCAAAAACACAAAATGCTTTACAATTTGTATGTACTCAATTAAATGTAGATATAATAACATTAAAATCAAATCATATAACTTTTAAGCTTAATAAAAAATTATATGATCAAGCAATTGAAAAAGGGATACATTTTGAAATTCAATTTATAGATTTATTAAATCTTGAGTCTAGGAAGCAAATTATTCATTATTCTCATCTTTTTCATACTTATGGGAAAAGTAAGGTATAGAAATATTCAAATGAAAATAAAAATATTTTTTCAATATTTAATAAAATATAATATTAAATATTATAATATTAAATATTATAATTATTATAATATAATTATAGTAATTTAATAATTAAATTATTACTAATAATGTTTATACTAATAGATACTAATTCTAATGAAATTAAAATATATTAAAAAAAATGTTACTTAAAAATTATATATGTAAATAACAATATGATTTTTAATTAAAATATTTTTTTTTTTCAGAATATAATAATATCAAGTGGCTTAAATGATATTAGCATGATTAGAAATCCTTATGATCTCATAAATTTAGCATATTTATTGGGTTTGAATGAAATTCAAGCAAAAGCTTCAATATTATATCAATGTAAAAAGCTTTTATTACGAGCAGGTAATATATGATTAAATATATTTTTTTAAAATAAAAGTTTTTATAAAAATAAAAAAATTTAATAAGATAACTTATTAAATAAAATTAATAAAATTAATTAATTTTTTTACTTTTCATTTTAGAAAGAAGACGCAGAGGAAAAGCTGTTTTCATTATTGAAAATCAAATTAAAGGATTTAATCTTACTAAATAAGATTAATTTTTAAAGAATTAAAGTTTTTATAATTATTTTTATATTAAAATATATAAAAGATTAATTTTTTCACATTTTATTAATTAATTAAATAAAATATTTAAAAAATAAAATTATATTTTTTATTAAAATAAAAGAAGTAAAAAAACAAATACAAAATACAAAAAAAAATAATTATTTAAAAAAATATTTTTCATAAAATGTTTTAAATCAATAAAGAAAATATATAGAATATGATTTTTTTGTTCAAGAATTATTTATAAAGAAATCAAGTTTGAAAAATTATTGTATAAATATAGAGATATTGTTAAAATGTTATTTGCAGTATAATTTGAGTAAATATATAATATTCAATGAAAATTAATTATTTAATAATAACAATACATTAAAAGAAGTTATAGAATATTGTTTAATCATATTATTGTTAATCATATTTTAGCTGTATTTGCACATGACACAACAGATTTTTATACTCAATTTTTTTGAAAATTAAATCTCAAATGAAATAATTTCCATTTTTTTTTATTTTTTATAAGGAAGCAATTTGTGCCTGAATATAAATATTATTATTAGAACTGTATAATTCTGTGAACTGTATGATTTCAATGATTTTTTAAATAATATTTTTAGGATTAAATGATTTTTTTTATATTTTAAGAATAATTATGTTTGAAGAAATTTTTTTTCACATCAATCATTTACAAATTGTTATAGATTTTATCTTATATACAATTTTATTCTACAAATTGTTATCAATTAAAAATTCTATATTAATATTTTATGCTAAAAATATATAATATATGAATATTCTTATACTGTAAGTAATTTTCCAGAACACCAAGGACATAAATGAAAATTTGATTCAAATATACAAGAATCTTTACAATCTTTTATCTCTGTTAAAACATCTAAAAGTTCTGAAACATTTTTATTTTCTATTTGAGAATCTATTATTTCTTTTTTTGTTTCTAAAATTAGAGAATCATTGGAATCCATTTCTGAAAAAAAATTAAATTAATTTTTCTTAATTAATACAATTAATATGCACAATTTTTTTATATAAATAAAATTTAGATTAATAAGATCAATATCGATATTATTAATGATATTTAAATAATACATTTAAAGTATATAATAGAAGATCAATATAAAAATTTTAATTAAGTATTTAATATCATTTTTCGATATAGATATTTTTAAAATTAATATTGTATTAAATCAAAAATCTTTACAAAGATATTGATATTTATTTAATATTTTATAAACATTTCAATACTTATTTGATATCGATCTTTTATTTATTAAATTTTATAAAATCAAGTATTAATTCTAGTTCAGTTTAATGAAGAAAAAACATGCAAAGAAAAGTGAAATAAATAAGTATATTAATGCTTGGTTTTGATTGTGATTTTAGAAATGAAAGCTAAAGTACGAAATTTTCATAAATGGATACTAATACCGAAATATCGAATGATTTTTGATTTCATATTAATTTGGCAGTATTAATTTGATATTTTTTTATCGTCAGTGGAAAATGATATCAAATACTTAAAACTTTGTAAATTAGTTGTTAAGTATCAGTATTCTATGTGATATCTTATATTTCCTAACATTAATTATCACATACCTGTTTCAATTAAACGATCTGTTCCATTGGAATGTATATATTCCTTTCTAAGAAAATCACTAACCAAAACTTTTAATTTATGCAATTGTTCTTGTTGTTGATTTCTTTGTTCAAGTAACTGTCGAAATATTTTTTCTCTTTCTATTGCTCTATTTTGTAAAACTGCTCTTTGTTTTTGATATAATGTTATGTATTCTCCTAAAAATAAAATATAATAAAAAAAAATTCCAAAAAGATGAAAATAAGATTGGAGTTAAATAAAAAAACTAAATAATTAATTAAAAGTCATCTATTTGTACCTATTGTTTCTGTTTCACTTTGGAGTTGTAAAACAAGATGTTCAAGTTTTTGTTTTTCTTCTGTAAGCTCTGCAACTCGTTCCATTGTTTCCTTAAATCTTTGTTCAAGTTGTTTTACAGGTTCTGGTACTATAACAGTACTTTTATTCAGACTTTTTACATGTATATTTTCTTCTAAACTTGAAATATTATTATTTGTGATTATAGAATATGAATTATTTTCTAAAACAAAATTCTCTGAACTCTTTTCTTTTAATTTCTCTGTAAGTGCTTGTTTTTCTTTTTCTAATCTTTCTATAGTAGTCTAAAATGTAATAAAAAAATTATAAATAAATTTAAGAAAAATATTTTATTGAATTAATATTGAGTTAAAGTATTAAATTAAGAATTTTTTTAATTTAATTAATTAAATATTTGACATTGATGAAATATAAAAAAACAATTTACTATGGCATGTTGAAGTTCTCGTTGAAAAGTATTTACGTGATGTGATTGTGCTTGATAATGTTGAATTTGATCTGCTATTTGTGCACTTTGAAGTCTTTCTTTTTCAAACTCTTGAAGAATAGCTTCTTTTTCTTTTAATTGTGCCTTTAATTGTTCCAATTCATTTTCTATATTATTTAATTGAATATTTAATTTTCTTCCTATAGAACGTTCTGCTTGAAGTTGTTCAGTCAAATCCAATTTAGCATTACTCTTAAAATTGTATTAAAAATTTATATAATTTGTTTAATTTTATTGAATCATTAATATATTTTAATAATATTTAATATCATACTTACTAAAGAAACAAAAGCATTTTCCATGTCAGTCAATTGTTCTTTTAATTGATGATTTTGCTGAATTGCTCTAGATGCTCCTAATTGTTCACTTTCAAGAGCACTGACTAGTTTTGTTATTTCTGCTTCTTGATTATTTGTTTCTTGTAAATCATTTAAATTTTTTGTTAAGATTTCAATTTGTGAATCCTAAATATGAAAAGAACATTTTTAATAATAAATTTTATATTATATAAATTTTATATATTTTATTCTATTATAAATTATTATAAATTTCATTATAATAAATTATAAATGATATTATATTATTAACAATTTATATATATTTTTTAATAAATATTTAAAAATTTATATACCCTAATGAATATTTAAAATAAAATAAAATAAATATAAAAAATAAAATTTTATTATATAATAAATTTAATATAATAAATTTAAAATAATTTTTATTTAAATTTTAACATTAATACAACATTATTAACATTAATTAACATTAAAATTATAATAAAGTTATAAAATTATAATACCTTTTCAGATAATATAATGTGAAATCTTTCTTGTTCCAATGTAAGTTCATCTATATTTTTTAGTAAATTATTTATTTGATCTTTACGATCTTGTAAAGGTAATAGATTCTCTACTTTTTCTATTTCTTGTTGTAATTGTTGTTCAAGTTCTGAAATTTTTTTTACACGATTTTGTTCTTTATATTGTAAATCTTCTATAATTTTTTTTTGTGTTTTTATCTATAAATATTAAATCTTTAAAAACTTTATCATTTTTCGTAGTATTTTCAAATTTCACAAAGTATATCATACCTTTTCTAATAATTTTGCTTGCTGGGCATCTAACTGTTTAACATAATTTTGATATTGTTTATTAATTTCATCTTTTTCATTATTAACAATTTTTAAAGATTCTTTAGTTTGTGCCAATTCTTGTTCTAAGAGAATTGCTGTATGTTTTTCTTCTTCTGTTATTGACATACCTTTCATCTATAAAAAAGAATTAATTAATATTAATATATTATTAATAATATATTATATATAATATATATTTATGTACTTGTTGTATTCTAAGTTCACTTAATGAAAGCAATGCTGTTTTTTCTTGAAGTTCTTGTTGAATAGCAATTAATTCTGTTTTTTTCAAATTTAATTTTTGCTTTAATTCTGATCCTTCTAAATCCAAATCTTCTTTTTCTTTTTTCAATTGAAAAAATTGTTCATTGAGAGAATCATATTTATTTTGCAATTGATGAAAATTTTTTTTTAGTTCTTCATTATTATTTTTTATGGACAATATTTCCTTTTCTAATTCAAGTATACGAATTTGTGAATTCTTTAATTTTTTTAACATTTCCTCTGCTTCATCTAAAAAATGTTTATTTTTTATTTATTAAAAATTCATGATCATTTTTGTATATAAATCAAAAAGACTTAATGAATTGAAATAATAAACCAGAATTTTGTTTTGCACTTTGTTGAGCTTGACAAAGAGCAGATGTAAGTTCTGCTTTTTCTGCTATTAAGATTCCAGTAGTCTGAGTATGAATTTGAACTTGATCTTTTAAAGGATTTATTTCTCGTTCTAATTGTATTTGAAATTCTGTTTCTTTTTCTTTTAACTTGGTTTCTAATTCTGAAATTCTGCTATGCTAATCAATTAAAAATATTATTTTATTCTTTTTATTTTAAAATTTTAAAATTTTTGTAAAATTTATATGTATATACTTACAGCATTATTAAGTTTTATATGCAATTCATTAATAATTTTTTTCTGTTCTTCTAAATAGGAATTTAAAAATTGATTATGATTCATTAAATCAAAATCAAGTGATGTTTCTATATATTCAGATTCATCTGTCAAAACATTTTCAACTGCAGAAGCCATTTCTAAGAGATGTTCTTTTTGTACTATTGGAAATTCATTTAAATTTAATTTTTCTTCTAATTTTGATATTATATTATTTCCTTTCATAGAATTGATATCTTCCATAGAACAATTTAATTCATTGTAATTTATATTTTCTGAAGTTACCATTGAATTCATAAGTGCATCATTTTTTTGAAACTCTTGAATTGTATGATTATCTTTCGAAGTTTTCATTGTTAATACATTGCCTATAACTTCTAAATTCAATTTATTAGTTTCTGCATTTTGGCACTGTAAATTTAAAAAAATAATAAATAAGATTTTTTAAAAAAATATTTTAAAAAAATTTTATATTTTATATTAAATATATATATATATAATAAAATATAATTAGTATTAAAAAAATTGTATTACAATCAGAAATTACATATATAAAGTTCTAAATTAAAAAATATTTAAATTTCTAAATTAAAAGTTTTAAATTAAAATAATTAAAATATTATAAATTTAATTCACCTGTGAAGATAATAAATCCAATGTATGTCTTTGTTTTATAGAACCATCTTGGTTATTTTGCATTTTACTTAATTGAAATTCTCTGAGCTATATAAAATTAAAAATATTATAAAATATAAATATATATTAATAATAATATAAATATATATTAATAATAATTATAATATTACATATATTAATAATTTGTTAAAATTTATAAAAATATTCTTAAAAATATTCTTTAATGTTTTAAAATATAAATATTATACACAACATTAATACTTATCTTAGTAACAAATAATATACAAATAATTTGACAGCTAAAATAACCTAAATATTTATAAACACAAAAATAAAGAGTAAATATATAATTAAAATATTACATTAAAATTAATATTAAATTAAAAATTACAAAGTAATATAATCTTAAATATAAATTTTTATGTAAAAATACAAAAAAGATATTTATATAACTATCTATTTTTCAAAACGTATATAATGTTATACCTTTCTTTTAGCGGCCAAAAGTTTTTCACTTTTACTTAAATTCATGTTGAAATATGACACGAAAATTAATAAATGAAATTCTTAATTTTGTTTTAGCACAAATATTTACATCAACATAATTAAAAATATTGTACTATATATTATCAAGGTTATCTCATGCCTATTAATTGCTTTTCTATCCATTGATTTAATTATTTACTTAGATGTACAACAGTATAATATCATAAACATTAATAAATTGCGCCATCTATAAAAAAATAAATATTTTATAAAAAATATTAAATATAGACATGAAAATACAGTTTTTTATAAATGTAATAATAAAAATATATTCTTAAGTTATATAAACATATTTTACTATTATATATTTATATCATATTTAAAAAGAAAGAAAATATACTATATCATATTTAAAAAGAAAGAAAGTGAAAGAGAGAAGTGAGAAAAAAAGAGTATTTAATATATAAATTTTTCATTATTAATAATAAAGTTCTAAACTATTTTGATAAAAGAAAGAAAAAAAGTTTTTAAAAATAAAAATATTTTATATAATTGTAATAGAAAACCCTAGCTAGAAATTTGAAGTTTTTCACTAATAATTTTAGTTAATTTTACACTAATATAACTGTGAATTGGTACGATGAAAACGTAAAATTGTGCAAAATTTTCGTGAGAATTTTCGACTTTCATACAAAAGATTAATATAAAAGTAAAATATTAATAATTTTATTTTATATTCATTACTTTTATATAAATTTATACATTATTTCATATAAATTTACACATCACAATATAAATAATAAAATATTAAATATTTATTTAAAGAATACTAAATTAAATTGTAATATATTATTATCAAAAAAGAAATTTGGTTATAAAATTCTTTATTATATACATTTTGTCTTAGATTATGTCAATAGTTTTATTTTTATTTTTATAGCATTTTTAATTAAAATTTATAAAGTTATTTTCTTAAAAACTATATATAATGAATATTATATTATATAAATATTATAGAAATAAATATTTAATACTCTGGATTAAAAATTTCGTAAAAATTAAAGCAAATTTTTTAATATTATTATTCAATATATTATATTAATATGTAATATTTTATAATATTTTATTATAATATAATATTATTTATATAATTATAAATTATAGATTATAAATTTTTATTTCTTTGAAGGTATCAATATGGGTGTTCCTTCGGTTAGAAATTCTGAAGCTATGGATGTTGAAATAATTTTTGATGGTCAAAATGGTGATGGAGATGTTTGTGAAAAAAAAGATGCTGATCTTCAAACAGTATATGATATTCGTGAGCATACCCGTCAAATAGAAAAAGCTATACAGAGCAAAGAACCTCGTTTTATTTTAAGAGCTTTGCGTACATTACCGAATACACGTCGTAGATTAAATTCAAATGTTTTACGTGGTGTAATATTAAGTTTATATTCAAAACCATGTGCAGAACGTGATGCATTATTATCATGGTTAGAGGAATCTACAGAATCTGAAGAAACACAAAAACTTCGTATTTCTACTATGAATCCATTACCTGAAATTGATGCTTATATTCATTTATTAGTTCTTGTACGTTTAATTGATGCTAGAAAACATGAAGAAGCTGTTCAATGTTCTGAAACATTATTGCAAAAAATTATTGCTCAAAATAGACGAACAATTGATTTAATTGCTGCCAAATGTTATTTTTATTATTCAAGAGCGTATGAATTAGTTGGAAGATTAGATAAAATACGTGGATTATTACATTTGAGATTAAGAACAGCAACACTTAGAAATGATTTTGAAGGACAAGCTGTTTTAATTAATTGTTTATTGCGGAATTATTTACATTATAATTTATATGATCAAGCAGATAAACTTGTATTAAAATCAACTTTTCCAGAATCTGCTAGTAATAACGAATGGGCCAGATTTTTATATTATTTGGGACGTATTAAAGCAGCTAGATTAGAATATTCTGCTGCTCACAAATATCTAGTACAGGTAAATTAATAATTTTTTGATATATAAATTTTTAATGAATGTATTATCAGAAATTTAATATATTATTAGCATATATCATTGATAATTTGTTTTAATATATTAAATATTATTTCAATATTAGATTCAATTTACGATTTTATTAGTAAAAAATCTTTTAATGATTAAAAATTAATTTATTGTTTAAATAATTATAAATAATTTATAATAAAATATTTTAATAAAATAAAATATTTCTTTCTGTATAATATATCAATGAATTAAAAATTTAGAATAAAAATTAGATAATTTTATTATATTATTTTATTTTATTATATTATTTTATTTATTATATTATTTTTTATATACATTTATTTATTATATTTATTTTTTTTTAGGTACAAATATATATTATATAAAGTATATCAATGTTAACTTCAAAATAAAAATTATATAATTTTATTATACTTAATATTATTTAAAAATATTTTTTTACAGGCTCTTAGAAAGGCTCCACAGAGTACTGCAGTTGGTTTTCGCCAAACAGTTCAAAAATTAGCTGTTACAGTGGAACTTCTACTTGGAGATATTCCAGAACGTCAAACTTTTAGACAAGCTGCAATGCGTCGTGCATTAGCTCCATATTTTCAATTGACTCAAGCTGTGCGTTTAGGAAATCTTCAACGTTTTGGAGAAGTTTTAGAAAACTTCGGTCCACAATTTAGAGCAGATCATACCTTTACTTTAATTCTTAGATTGAGACACAATGTTATTAAAACTGCAATTAGATCAATTGGACTATCTTATTCCAGAATTTCTCCTGCTGATATTGCAAAGAAACTTGGTTTAGATTCTAGTGTTGATGCAGAATTTATTGTTGCTAAAGCTATTAGAGATGGTGTAATTGAAGCTACTTTAGAACCAGAAAATGGATACATGCGTAGCAAAGAAACTACAGATATTTATTGCACTAAAGAACCATTACTTGCATTTCATCAAAGAATTACTTTCTGTTTAGACTTACACAATCAAAGTGTTAAAGCTATGAGGTACCCTCCAAAATCATATGGCAAAGATCTTGAATCAGCTGAAGAACGTAGAGAAAGAGAACAACAAGATTTAGAACTTGCTAAAGAAATGGCAGAAGAAGATGATGATGGATTTCCTTAAATTGTTTTTTTGTTAATATATTTAATTAATAGAATGATTTATTAAAGAAATTTTTCATATTACATTTTCTTATATTTAACAGTTGTATAAGACAATTATACAATATGAATACAAATTAAAGAATTTGAAATGTTCAAAAATTTTATAAAAATGTACTTTTTGAAATAAAAAAGAGTTATAAATGATATAAATTTCAAGAATCAATTATAAATATATTTTTTTTTATTAAATATTTCAAATTTGATAAAATGAATTTTTTTATTATATTAATTATTATTTTTTATTATATAATTATTTATTTATTATATTAATATTTTAATATTAATTTTTTATATAAATAAGTTATAAATTGTTAAAATTGTTGAACTTCAATAATTTTTTTATTAATAATGTAGTAAAAATTCATTATTATTAAAAAATAATTTATAAATTTTAGAGATTTCTTATTTTTAAAATATTTATTTATTTATATTTTATTTTTTTTCATGTAATCAATTTAATTTTTTTTATAAAATAATTTAAAATATGTTTTTGTTATTGTTCTTTTAATTTTTTTAATAAAACATTATAAATATATATAATATATAATTATAATAAATATAATAAAATGATATTAGATGTTAAATATTATAGTTTTTCAAAAATAAATTATTATTTAGTATTATTAATATTTATTTTTGACTTTTTTAAAAAAATATTTTTCTATAAGACAAGAATTCTTAAGGCCATAAATAAATTAATAAAATTTTATTAATATATATATATAATAATATACATTAATAAAAGGAAGAAAGAAAAGAATAACGATTATATTTTAATATATATTTATTTACATAATTATATCTTCATAAATAAAATTGATTTATTAAATTGTAACAAATTATTTAATTATATTAACTATAGTACAATCATTATATAATACTTTCACTGTACAAGACTTTTTTTCTGTTCTTTCCATTTGTACAAATTTAATAATAAATTTACGAGTAAATTTTATGTATTAATTAACTGCTAAATTATTTATAATAAGTCATCCATTAATCCCATCATTAAATTGTTCATATAATGATAATTAAAAAGTTAATAAAGATCTTTGGTTATTGGTTTCATGGAATACTGTTGCTTTTTGGAAATTTTCTGCATTTTTTCTAATCAGTCTGAAATGATAAAATTTTTATTATTTATTATAATAAATTAAAAATAATAAATAAATTCTTTTATATAATATTATAATTATAAGATTTATATAATTATATAATTATAAGAATTTTACATTTAAAAATATTTTTGAAAATATTATAAATTTAAAATAAATTATAAGCAATAAAAATAAGTAGAAGTATTATTATAAAATATAATATTTATAAATAATTAAATTTTTAATTAAAAAAATATATATAAATTTTAATCAATTTTAAATTTATAATAAACCATCTTACCTTGTTTTATTTTAAGAATATGAATTATTAAGGAAAATAAAAATAATTTTCTGTTCACTAATATTTGAACACCATCTCCTCTAAGACTTGTATTTGGTGTCAAAAATTTATTTCTTCTATCATTTTCAATATTAATATCACGATAACCATGATGTATTTTTCCAAAACAAAGAAGATTCATATTTCTATGAATTCCTTTGCAATCATATTCTTCAAAACCATCACATTGACATGTATTTAATTTTGCAGCTTTTTCTTGTCTTGTCAAAATATTTATCGAGTTTCTACATCTAAAATATTTTCTTTAAGATATCATATATGTATATGTATATGTATATTATAAAATAAAATTCAATCGACATCTTTTTTTATTATTAATATAATGTAAATAATATTAATATATTCGTTGAATCTAGAAATCAAAAAAAAAGTTAATACATAAAAATGTCGATTGAGATTTATTTATTAAATTATAAGCAATTTAAATTCGCGGTGGATGAAGCAGAAACAGAATGTGATAGCAATGTAACGAAGACAAAGCGATTTCATTCTCTTTCTGTCTTTTAATTTAATGCAAATTTTAATTGTTTATAACTGCATATAAATAAGTTAATAACAGACATTTTTGTATACCAACTTTTATATTTTTTTTTTTTTTTGCTTTTTATTAATCTTTTATTATTTATATTTAAATGTCTCACGAATATATTAACATCTTATATTTATATATTAAAATATTATTTACCGTCGAGTACATTTTCGTCCTTGAAACATACTCTTACAATATTTATTATAATATGCAAGTGCAGTTTGACAAAGAGCATCTGCATTACAAATCCAAGTCGCTATTCTGCAAGATACTCTTGTCTTATTCATTGCCATTGTTACAGATGATCTACATATTTCTACTCTTTGTTTTGATTGTAGGCATAATTCATTTTCACATTCACACTATATAATTAAAAATAAAATATTTTTCATTAAAAACTTGCATTTTATATATATTTATATATATTGCAAACATCATTATCTAATCATAATTTATAGTTTTATTATAATTTATTTTTTAAAAAATTAAAAAATTTTTAATTTATAATATAATATAATAATATAATATAATATAATAATATAATATAATATAATATAATATAATATAATATAATATAATATACTATAATATAATATAATATACTATAATATAATATAACATAACATAACATAACATAACATAACATAACATAATATAATATTATATAACATAACATAATATAACATAACATAACATAACATAACATAACATAACATAATATAATATATAATATATATTATAATATAATATAATAATTGAATTTTTAATAAACAATTTAATATAAGAAATAAATTTCAACTATTTTTTAACATAATAGCTTTATTTTTACTTAAATACTTTATTTTAATACTTTACTTTAATACTTAAGCTATTTATTATGTTAAAATTTTATATATTTTTTATGTTAAAATAAATAAAAAGATTAAAATAAAATTTTGTCACTTAAGTTTTTATTTTTGAGAAAATCGCGAATGAGCACATTATGAGTCAAGAAGTTGACGAATTTTCAAATTGAACTTTTTTAAAAATCAAATAATCTACAAATTTTCAAATTCGATTTTTTTAAACAGTAATTTTTAAAAAAAAAATTATTTTTTATATTCAGAATTTTTTGCATGATAGAATAACTATCAATAATTCATATTTAAGGAAATTAGTTAATTTCACTCGTATTTGAAAAATTTTCAAAGTTTTTACTTGAAAAGTTTAAAATTTTATTCTCTTTTTTCTTATTTTTGTATGTAGAATCGCTATTTATTCTTAATATTATTTCTATATATTATTTATAAATATTTTTATATGTTTGTAAATTTGTATTATAAATTATAAAATTTACAATAAATTTATAACATATAATAAATCGATTTAAAATAATTATCAAATGCATCATCAAATGTTGACGTATATATATATATATATATATATATATATTAACATTAATTAGAATAAATATTATTTATATTTTAAACAGAAATAATATATACCGTCATAAGTTCTTTGCCCTCATCGGTACTTGTAAGAGCAATAAGGGCATGTTGACAGCTCTCGGAACAATTATTATCTTCAAGAACGGGTGCACATCCTGTAAAATAGTGTTGTAGAGCAGTGCCACAGCCTGTTCTGAAAGCGCATTTTAGTTTTGCTTCTTCACACCTTATTTTTGAACTTTTCACAGTATTCCACATTATTGTACTAAATAATATCATACTCAACAAGAGTATGTTCAATCGGTCGAACCAACGTGACATTTTTCTAAAATAGTTATAAAATAATTCAAAATATGTAAAGATCTAATTAAAGAATTGTCAAATTTGAATTCAAATTTACATACAAACTTTAACTCAAATTTAAAACTTTACTGTTTTTCTATATATTTTATCTTTAAGAAGTATATAGAATGTTAATTTATTTGTATAATATATATTTGAAAGAATATAGAAACTAAAGTAAACACAAAAATGATATATAAAAATATTAATTATTTAATATGTTTATTTATTAATTTATAAGTAATTGAAGTTTACATTAGACGTTCTGTTATGCTATTATGTTGTTCTATTTTGTATTTATTTTAACTTCTAAAATAGACCTTTTAAAAGATCTTTTATCTCTATACTATAATACTACTAATATAACGCTAATATAACTATATGCTAATATATATAGTTTTTATATATATATAAGATAATGTATAATAGAAAAAAAGAAAAATTATCTTTACTAATTTTATATTTATATAAAATCGATTTATATAATATACGTATATATAATAAAAACAGAAAAAAATATAAAAAATTTGCAATTATTTAATTATTATTTTAATTCCTATATTTAAATTCAGTTTCATTTTATATTTAAAAATTATTTGATTGATTTGATTTGAATAGATTTGAGAATTTTTCATTATATTAATATACATATAATTCCTTTTATATAAACTATTGTATAAAGTTATATTTTCTGAACAATTTAATACTTATTATCTTAAATAATTTAATAAACTTATTATTTTAATATTATTTTTTATTTATTTGATAATGCACAGAATAAATATTTTTAAGAATAGGAAAATTTTATATTATTTTTTAATTATATATGTTATAAAAAATCAAATAAAAATATTATTTATTTTTTTTATTATCACATATATTTTATTTGTTTATTAACTGTAAATAAGAATTCATTTATATTTTTTAATATCATAAAATATCTTAATAATTTTTTATATCAATATACAATTATGCATAAAGAAATTAAACTGAAATTGTATCTTATATATGTATATTGTATCTTATATATTTATTTAATCATTATTCATTATTTATAATAATATATATTATTAAATATAATTTTTAATATTGTACTAAACTGAAAAGTAAGTTTGTGAATTCTTATGTTATGAACAAATATATAACTTAAAGGGATATTCTTAAAATAAATCTTCTGTATCATTCAAGTTAATAAAAAGAATTTGCTACTCAACTTTGGGAATTACAAATACCATTATAGATTGGTATTTTCTAAACTTCTAAACTTAACAAGATTTACGGACATTGATTATATATCTTTTTTTACTGAAATCCGTCTTTTTGACGGGTATATTAAAATGCAATTTTTTTGTGAATTATTTACTTAAAATCTATAGATTTTTATTTGCTGTTGTTTTCAATACATTTTTTACATGTAAACTCTATCTTGGATATATAACTTTCCGCATACATATGTGTTAGATTTAATATAAATATAGTTATATTCCAGTGAATTGAAGTTAGTATTTTGTTTGTCATGAAACGTTCGTACGTTTTGTTGATCACTGCCTAATTGTTTAGTTAATTATAATATAATAAAGAGAAAATTTTTTCGAATTTTGTTTACTCCAATAATCTCTTTATATAATAATCCAGGCATTGATGGCTACCAAATTTAAAAACAATTGTAAAACATATGAAGGGGCTATCTACGGAATTCTGTTTTCACAATATTTTCTTCATTATTAGTATCTTTTATTTCACTTTCGCTTTCAATATCTGAAATAATATGCATTCTTTTTTTTTTACATGTATATATTGTAATAATTTTTATTCCTATTATCGTCAGAATCTTCAATTTCGTTTACATTGTCAAATTCTTCCTCGTTTTCGTATAATTCGTTTATATCAGAATCCGATCCAGATTGGTCTTCATTCATGGTTATTCTTTTTATTATTCTTTTTTATTAATTCCATGTCTTTTGAAGACTTGTCCATAATAATATAAACGTAAAAAAATATATTTTTTTTGGATAAGTTTTGAAAATATGTTGAAAAATTCAAATCTTCATTTATGAAAATAAATTTTTGCTAAACTTCCAAATAGCACTTATTTTTTACAAAACGAAATTATTTCTTAGGTAAATCTATTTGTTTTATATAAAATAATAAGACAGATTCACTTACAAAAATCACTTTTTTTCTCTGCAAAATTCACCGTTGAAGGGATTATTTGTTATCATATCATAATTATAAACAACTTCTTTGATTATGTATTTATTGATAAACAATCGTCATTTGCTTAGTGTTACTTTTTCTTATTCATTGTTACTTCAGTTTTGTTATTTCGCAATAATTGATCTATATAAATTAACTCGTCAAATTGACGGATTTTCGTAAAAATAGGTATATAATATCTAGAAATAATAAAATATAAATCCAGAGAAAACGAATAGAAATATATATTTGTTGCATTATATCATTAAAAACCAATATATAATGTTTAAAGAATAATATTTGCATGACGTAATCCGTAAATTTAGTGTTAAGATAATTTGCAAATCTGATTCAATGTAAACAATTCTTAGTTAATTGTTTAACATAAATTTTTTGGAAGTCTTTTTCTTCGATATAAAAATCGAAAGATTTTACAACTTTACATGAATATTTTTTAATTATTTATTCTTAATACAGTAAACGTTAAATTTATGTATAATGTATAATGTATATGTATAATGTAATATATATATAGAATGTCTATCAATTTAATTATTCGAAACTATTTTCGTTTAAAAAAATTAAATTATTTTCAAAAGTAATATTTTTTTTTAATATTGATATCTACATTTTGTTAACATTCGAATGATTGCGATTAATAATGAAAAAAATATCTATATATAAGACAATCTATATAAAAGACATCGCTCTTAATATTAATGGAATAACATGATTGAATGTTTTTTGTTTTAAATCTCCATTTTCATGTTCTTAACTAGATACTACATAGAAAAACGGAGTATGTAAAGGTGGGGATAAAGGAGAGCACGTGCGTAAGCATGCAGTGAGAAAAGAGAGGGGGAGATTCTACCTGAGAGCGCTTCATTGCCAGCGTTAGTGCCGATGCTGTTGCGCACCAGCCCCAAAATGGACCACCAAGATGTTGCAGACGTGGCAACGAGGGACAGATGGTCAGCCCTATAGACCCTCAGTGATCATCAACTTTACTTTATACTCAAATTTAAATCTTATTTTGGACTAATGTAATGAGAAGAAATGTTGAAATAATTACATATAATATATATTATTTATTTGCAATTTAAAAATGTTCAATCAATGCCTATGATAATTGGTGATAATTTCATTCATTTAAGACATTAAATCGATGTCGATCCAAGAAAACAGTTTATCATGAGCAAATAGTACTTAAATAAATACTGACGAAGAAGACAAATATTTATTTGAAATGGAACACTGCCTTCCTGATATAGTATTTATAGTTTAGTATTTATTTTTTATAAATACTACTTAATTTTATTAAAAGAATATAATTAAAAATTACAATTGGTGAAATTTTATTAGAAAATTTTGTTTTTATTTGAAATTAAATATTATTTTAAATATATAGAAATGCAATTTTTAATTTATAATCATCTAAAATAAATATATATTTTTTTAATAAATTATCAAATATGAAAGATATTTGATATAAAAAGGACAAAAAATGATTATTTTTTATATTATTTTTATCTTACTATTTATTTTATTTAATGCAATAATAACAAAATAATTATATTTATCTTATATTGAAATATCAATTAATTAATTTATTATTTATGTAATTAATCATGATAGCAAATCAAAGTAAAAAGTTAAAATTTTTATAATATATATTGTTAATATAATAATTTTATATATATATTGTTTTTTATTATATTATATTAATAAATATACTATTATATACTATTATATATATATATATATATATATATAGTAACTATGAATATATTATATAATAATTCATTTAATATAATATATGCAATAATATATCAATATAAAACATGAGAAAAAAATTATAATTTTTTATAATTTATTAATACTATTATTTTGATTATATTAATACTATTATCTTGACTATATTTCATTTTACTTAAAATTATTATGTTGTTATCTTATAAATGTATGTTTTATTTATTCTACATAATTTTTTTCATTTTCATGATTTATAATTTTGAAAATGTGATATAAATTAAAATATAAAAATACAATTTATATATTATACTATGTATAATTTATTTTATATTATTATAAAATGTTTTGCAATATTATAAAAATGCAAATAAAAAGATTAATATTTAATGATATTTAATTAATATAATATTTAATATATTTATTATATTTAATCATATTAATTAATATTATTAATTGAATTCTATTATTATAACAATATTAAACTTCTTATTTTACAAAATTTAATATATTGTCATTCATTATAATAAATGTATAACAAATATAAAATATAAAATATAAAAAAATATATAAAATATAATAATAAAAATAATATTTTGATTAATTTAATATTATTCTATTTAATAAACAATTTTAATCATTAATATATATATTTTCATTTGTACTCAATATTTATGAATATAAATAAAATAATAATTCTAATGTATCAATCTAATATATCAATTTAGTTTTTTCAAAAATCGAGTCTAAAAAACAAATATCAATATGGCTATATCTAAAAAGATAATAAAAAATATGTTTATAAATTCGTTTAATAGAAAATTAAAATAAAAAAATCTTAGAATACGAACCTTATAAACAATCACATTGTTTTGTGACAACAACCGTGAAAAATAAAATTTAAAATTCCAAATATAAGCTAATTCGTCAATGATTTAAAAATTACGATTTCGTGTTAAGAAATCATAATACATTAAATAAAAAGAAAGGAAAAGAGAAACTAATAAACACACGATCACCGAGGCACTACTTAGATTGAGTTGTGACGGCTTACCCCGCTATGTCGAGAAGCTGCGCGCGTCGTTTCTTTCCCCTTCTACTGGTTTACTGGCACAAGCTGAGAAGTTTACTGATACATTTAAACTAAAATTTGAAAAACATTATTGTAAAGACTATCTTTAATATAGAATTTATATATATTTAATTAAAATAAAATCTTTAAAAGTTGTTATTTTACATATATAATTTATATATTTATATAAGAATAAAAATTAATTTACGAATTAAAGTAAACAAAAATTTTTATAAAAAATTATAAAAAATTTTCTGCAAATAAGAACATAAATATTATCTTAATATTTTTCTAGATTTTTATAATAATTTTGTATTTATCAAATTTAGAATCAATTGTATAAAAGTCTTAAAATTTGTCCTCGTTACAAGAATATTTCATAGCCATTGCTACTTCTATCCTCCAACTACAGGGGTCCAAGGTGCCCCAACCTGCTTGGCTGATTGAGACACCAGCCTGGTTCCAACACCACCCTCTTCACTCCCTCAACCAAGCCCTTCGAAGAATGACGTTGAATAGTCCAGCATTTAGATACGTTCAGTTCTTTCTTACGTTTCTTCTTCTTCCACCGATCTTCTATCGAGCTCCTTTTCAGTCTCCTTACTACTTCTATTCCTTACCACAAACATTCACCAGGCAGCTGTGATTCTCAACTCAATTTCACTTTTTTTAAAGGAGAAGCAGTGAACAGCAATGAAATTAATTGTTTGAATATAAATTAAATCAATTATGATTTTATAGGAAAAATTAGAAAGAAATGAAATCATGGAATATAATTCATAAATTTTTTATGTTTATTATATTTATATGATTTATATAAAAATTATTTCTAAATTAAAATTATTTGTATTTTTGTTTTATTTTATTATCAAATGAAATTGTACAAAAATAAATGTTTTAAATATATAATTTGTAACTTTATTTTTATGCAATTAATATTATATATTAATATTATATATTAAGTGAATGACAAGATATTTGTTTTTAGATTAACAAAGCAAGCGTATGTCTAACTTTATTTAAAATATGCTAAATAAGTGTTTCTGTCATTATTTAATTGAAATTGATTTTCAAATAAAATTGAAGATTTTAAAATTTTCATTTAAATAAATAAAAAAAATTTGTTTTCAATTTATTTACTAATTTGTTTTTTCATTCTTTTTTATGATACTTTATAAAGTGTAAAGTATCATAAAAATCTCTTTAAGATTCATAATAAACTACTCTTTCAACTATAAAGATTGAAATTTGAAATTGATTAAATTAAAATTGACATCAAGATTATATCTCCTAATTCAGAACATATGAGAAATGATTATTAAAAAATTCTGATACAGCACAAATGTTTTGCAGTAAAATAAATATCATAAATAAATCATTTGATCTGAAAGAAAAATATTTATATAAACGATAATTTACAAAACATAGATATATACATATCTCAATAATTTCTAAATGTTAATTCATTGCATATAAATGCTTTGATAACATAATTGAACAATTCTAAGATTAAATAATCAGTATTATTAAATAAAATATTATAAATTTAATTTTCAATAATATAAATTTATGAATTTTGTTATATAACGAGCGAAAATTCAAAAAATCATATATATAAGCATTTCATAAGAAAATTACTATTTAATATATAATTGAAAATTTTATATTAAAATTATATAAAAATAAATTATATAAAAAATATAACATGTAATAGAAATTATTCGATAAAACAATACAATAATAATAATCTAATATAATACAATAATAATATTAAATTATGTCTATTAAACATTAAATATTTGCAATTAATAATAAATTTTATTATATTAAATATATAAATATCAGAATAATATTTCAATATTAAGAAAGATAGAAAAAAAAATATAGAAAAAGTCAGTATGAGAATTTTTGTATCTATTTTGTTCTTCTTTTTCTTTTTCTGTCTTTGTTTCTCTCTTCTCCTTTTTTCTTTTTTCCTTCCTCTTCTTCCCGCTTCTCTTCTCTCTTTTCCTCTCTTTTCCACTTTTTTCTTCTCTTTTCTTTTTTTTTCCTTCCTCTTGCTATCAGTTTCTTTCGATGGTTTTTTTGATCTTTTCAAAGCAATTGTCCCAAGCGAGAACCTGCTTGAGGCAATAACGACTACAGGTTCGACTTATCCTGTATCTTCTGACATCTTAATAAAGCAATCGACCAATTTCTTGAAATCTTTCTTTTTCATTGTTTCGAATTATGTTTCAAAGATCTTCAAAAAAAGACTTTCTACTTCATTCAACATGATTTATAAAATGTTTTTATTATATATTTATTATATATTAATATTTTAGAAATTGTATTTTCTCATTTAACAGATAAATTTTGAAAGATTCTGATAACTGATCAACAGATCAACAGAAAAGATAGAGAGAACTTTAAATATAAAATTTTAATTTGTATTTATTGATATTTATTAGTTTCTAAGATATTAATGGAATTAATTTTTGGTATATATTAAATTCTATATAAACTAATACAATTATTTTGTAGAATTTTACTGTCAAATATCTAATAGCTGATTTCGATTATAGTGTATAGTGTCTGATATAAAATATTCAATTAAATTAATTTAATATCTATTACGAGATCTCTTCTATTCGAAACATTACAAAATAATAACCATATCTACATGCTAAATGCTTTTTATCTATAATCTTTTTCTACTTTTATTCGTACAAAATATCATATATGACATTTGATAAATTAAATATATTTTATTTCAATATATTATATATATTATATTTCATTCTTTGAAAATAAGTGATTAGATTTTTGGATTATAAATAAGACATCCTATAGATCTTGAAATCAATGTAATTAAACATTATCAGCTTCAATATTCTATGATAATGACTACTACAATGAAAATTATTGTATCTGAATAGATAGCATTCAATGTATTAGTATACAGAATTTTCAACATATAGTATTAAAATTTTTTATAAATACCTTAAAAACTAATAAAGCTAAATAAAAAAAAAAGTTCATTTCTGCCAGTTTTCTAAATTTTTTTTAGAACTATAGTCGATATATATATATATTGAATTAATAAATTGCATAAGTTTAGTTATTTTAATATTTAAATTTAATATTAATTCTTATCACATTTATATTTAAATGATATAGAATATTTCATAGTATTGATAATTGATTATTATTAAATAAAAACAAAAATTTATTATAAATTATATTTTTTAAAAATTATTTCATTATTGACAAGATATTCTTTAATTATTATTTAATTATTTGCAAAATATTATAATAAAAATTAATTTTTTTCAAATTGCAATATAAAATAATATTTTTTTATGAATATTTAATGAAAAATAAATAGATATATATTTTATTTAATGACTATTTTCTAGAGAAAATATGTATACATATATAATGGATATATGAAAATAATTTATATAATTTATAATATGAAAATAATTTTATTTAAAATATTGAAATTTTTATAATTAATTATAATAATAAATTAATTATTTTGCTTTAAATAAATTTTAAATAGTTATTTTAATATTAAATATTAAATATTCGTAAGTTATTATATAATAAATTAACTTTTAATCTTTTATTAAAATATTTATAAAAATTCAATTTAAATTATGATAAATTTTACACAGGACGATTTTTTCGTTAGAAGATTCAAAGTGTTGTCATATATTTCAGTTTTGTTTCGTGCTATTCATTTCGTTCTATTCATTTTATTGTGATAATTGTATATATGTATATAATACAGCAAAAACAAATATGTGTGATTGACATAAGTTCTTTAGCAAAAAAATCAATATAATTTATAATAATAAATAACAAGTACTTACTTATAATACTTGTTATAATATAATTTTTTTTATGTAATTATATATTATAATTTTCTACGAATTATTTAATTAAGAATTTTTTTAAATATAATATATTCATATTTGCAAAATATATAATAGTTTCGACATATTAATAAATTATTTATTTTTGAAAAATATACATATATGTAATGCATATATCAATCTAATGATATTTTTTTACAAAAATAATAAAAATAAATTGATATTAACTTAATATTTATAAAATAATTAAGAAAAAAATTAATTGAAAAAAATATGAACAATATGAAAATATTGTTTAAAAACATATAAATAAATTTTATCATTATTTTTTATTGTTTATATAAAATAAATACATAAAAATAAAATACATGAAATAATTATTAAATATAATATAAATTTAATTAATTATTTTTTTAAGTATAATATTTTTAAAATAATAATAATTAATCAATTTTATCTTTCTTTTTATATGTTTATTAGCATTAAAAAGCTATTAGTATTAATGTAATTATTTTATTTAAAATTTAAATAGATATTTGTTATGTTTCTATGTATTTCTTCATATCATAAGCATAAATGCAGTTATTTTTCTGCCATTAATCTCTAGTGTCACTGTTTAATTTTTGCTATGTTAATCTGCAATCAATTATACAAATAGAACTTGAATGATTTTTATCATGAATTTGTTTTTAATAGAATCTGTTATATTTTTGCAATATATATATATAATCTAAATTTTATCAAATTCCATCAAGTTATACTAGAATCTATCAAATCTATTTTCTGATGACAAAATTTGGCGTCAAAAATCTGTTGGTAGCAGTTGACTGAATATATATTCATTGTATTTATATATATGTATACAGATATAAAAATATATATATCTTTTGCATATTTTATTTCAGACTCAATTTTATTTCTATTTTCAAATTCAAATTTTTCAAATCAATTTTTTAATGCAATAAAAGAGATTTATATATATATATATTTATATATAAACTTTTGTTTTATACATAATTTACAATAATTTTTCATAAAATATATATATATATATATATGTAGTTCTTATTT